GTAGGCCTATTTGGAAAAATACACACCCTCTGATTTGCACAAAATGTAAAGCACAGCTTATCGTGTTTACACTTTTCTTTCAGATACCCATATACTAAAAAAGATTCTGGAGTGTATAGCTGTACCGCAAAAAACAGGTTCGGACAGTCAGAGCCCAGCAACGAAGTTTTGTTCATTACAGTGGGTGAGTAGACTGGAGGTTTTTCACATAATATTATTGCCATCGTATACGGGGTGCCCACTACAGCTGGATCGGGCGGATCGCCCGACTCGATCGCCTGAAACTGAAAACAAACACATTTGTTTTTGAGGCGATTGAGTCGGGCGATCGGCCCGATCGGCCGATCTCAGCCGTAGTGGGCACCCCCCTTTATACTTCTCACAAGCCAAGCTACCTTCGTACCTGATCCCGACTGTGAAAAATGAATAAAATTGTCTAGGTTTAATGCCCCTTTCAACACAGCAAAGCTTTATAAGAGGCAGGACCTCCCCAATGGACCGAGAGAAACGGGTGAAGAGCCTTATAATATACTCCCTTAAACAACTTTCAGGACGGACATCCTGTTAGTGATTCGAAACAAGGCCACCTACTCCGTCACCTGTATGATACCAACTGAGCTAACGACGCAGTCAGGGTTTATGTGCGTATCCGAATAACCCAGCGGTTTTGAGTAAAAGTTTGTTTAATAAGAGTTTTACGACACTCTCAACTACATAAGGTCATAACATATTATTATGAGTGTGCGAAACACTAGTTCGTTGTTTTCACGACAATTCACAGCATAGCTTGTTTTTATTTTATGGTTAGGTTAACTTTAACAATTTATGGCAAAAATCTAATTAAAAACACAAAAAACAAGCAGTTTGTATTTTTTAAATAACACTTTTTTAAAGTTTTAGAGTAAAGGCCTTTGTAAAATCGAGATTTCTGTTGGGATCGACGTCGGAGAACATTTTTTTTTCAATGTCTACATTAAAAAAAATATTTCCTTCTGGTCTCTCCAAAGTCCGGGTATTCTATCAGTATGTGTCTGATGGTAAAATCCGCATTGCATCCTATACAAAAGCGCTTAATTGACGAAAGTGCTTTGAACATCTTCGTCTCACTGAGAAAATAAAAGGCATACATTGGAAGGCTTGAAAAAAGGAACGTGAACAGAATCAGTGCATACGTTATTTGATAGCATCCGAGCAAGTAAATGAACGGTGAACCATAATAAAAATAGATCTAGATCTAGTCGCTATCTGTGTCAGATCTGGCGCTTCAAGATGATGCTATGATGTGCGTACTACCGGCAATTCTCCTTTCTTGATTTTTCCCACTCTGGTTTCACTTCGCGTTACTGTCTTCAGTCTTCCAATACTACTGCTTTGGCTCACCTGCTGTCAGGTTCGCTCTTGAATTTGCAATTATTCTATTACAACTTTTTACGTGTATGTGTGTGTCTCTGTGCTCGTCTGTGTGAGTGTGTGTGTTTGTGTGTGTGTGTGTGTGTGTGTGTGTGTGTGTGTGTGTGTGTGTGTGTTTGTGTCTTTGTGCATGTGTGGGCGCGGGCGCGCCGTGTGTGTGTGTGTGTGTGTGTGTGTGTGTGTGTGTGTGTGTGTGTGTGTGTGTGTGAGAGAGAGAGAGAGAGAGAGAGAGAAAGAGAGAGAGAGAGAGAGAGAGAGAGAGAGAGAGAGAGAGAGAGAGAGAGAGAGAGAGAGAGAGAGTCTGTACAAAAGTCTAACTGTCAGTTCACATCATGCAGAGCAACCCGAAGTCATACTTGAACCAGAAATTCCTGTTATTGGAGGTCCACTGAACATGACTTGCAGGGTTGAAAGCCATATATCTGCCCATAACTACACTCTGCGGTGGTACAAGTATGTATTAAGTGATTGTTTTGTGTTGTCAATGGTCAAGTTGTGTATTCAGTTAAATCTGTTTTGCCATCCAGTGTCTGTGAAAGATAAGAAAAGGAAGAGCATACCCACACCCAAGAACGTGCACAGACATATCACACACACACACACACACACACACACACACACACACACACACACACACACACACACACACACACACACACACACACGCTCACACACAAACATACATACATAATTATACATGTACATACCTGAACGAAATACATAAAGGTGTCAACCCACATAAGCTTTCATACATGCATGTATCCATTTACGAAAACAGGATATGCAAACACAACATACATACATACAGTGTGTAAACATACAGTACCCCGTTGGAGAGAGAGACAGAGAGATACAGAGAGAGAGAGAGAGAGAGAGAGAGAGAGAGAGAGAGAGAGGGGGGGGGGGGACATAGAGAGAGAGGGAGAGACAGAGAGACAGACAGACAGAGACAGACACAGAGAGAGAGAAAGAGAGTGAGAGAGAGGGAGAGAGAGAGAAAGAGAGAGAGAGAGAGACAGACAGACAGACAGAGACAGACAGAGAGAGAGAGAGAGAGAGAGTACGGGGAACGGGAAGAAAGAATCAGACATAATGCATGTGCAGTCGCACCTGCTCTAACATAGACAGACAGACAGACAGACAGGAAGACAGACAGACAGACAGACAGGAAGACAGACAGACAGACAGACGGAAAGACAGACAGACAGACGGAAAGACAGACAGAAAAACAGACAGACTCAGAGACTTACATACACTCTCTCTCTCACACACACACACACACACACACACACACACACACACACACACACACACAAGCAAACACACACATACACACGCACACAAACACACACACACACACACATGGAAGAGAGAGAGAGAGAGAGAGAGAGAGAGAGAGAGAGAGAGGGAGAGAGAGAAAGAGGGGGGGGGGAGAGGGAGATTGAGAGACAGAGATTGAGAGACAGAGATATTGAGAGAGAGAGAGAGAAGGGAGATTGATATTAATTAGATGATAATATAGGTTTTTTAAAACGCAATTTAGACAGGACTAAGAACGTTTACAGAGACTATGAGAGAAATACAGTCAAAATAGTTCAAAGCGTGCCACTCACTGTAAAGAAGAGAAGTGGTTATGTAAGGTGCACGTCTTGGACAGTGCCAGTATAATATTTTTTTAAATACCCCCCACCCCATCCCATAAAAGGGGGAGAACTTGGTTGTCTATTGCATTGGTACTTCATCATTTGGACAGGTAGCCGTTAGGAGTGGGTTGGACTGTATTATGTTGTATATATGAAGAATTTTTTAAAGAATGGTTAATAAGGAAAGAGACGTTGAATGCAAGGAGGGATGGGGGGGGAGGGGGTAAGTTCATTGTATTACTAATATAGTTCAATTATAAGGTTTGTCATTCGAAAGGTTTACAGCTCCGTGTATTTCTCAAATGTTCCAATTTGAGTTTATTTTTACTTTTTTAAAAATCAGCATCAAGCGACGCATATCTTCGTCTTATTATGTTCAATGCCTCAAGGCACACGTTGGTCGGGACTAATGGAATCCAAGTCGTCTTCATAACAGTCGATCAGTTTTTTTTAAATTTTAATTTTGTTTTATTGTTGTTGTTTGTTTTTGTTGTTTGTTGTTTGTTGTTGTTGTTTGTTTTTTTTTTTTTTTTTTTTTTTGGGGGGGGGGGTTAATACTTAATGAGACTAAGTGGTTCTTCTAAATTTTGCAGAGCGTGTTAAATGTTCTGATCCAACCTTTTAATCATTTTGAACAATATACAGTAGTCGTCTGCAAAAAATAAGTGGCAGGAATAAGTTTTACCATTACGCTTTTCCTCTTTTCTAAAGGAATGGAGTTTTTCTGGAGGATGCACAGACGGTGCTGCACATTGCAGAGCTTGAGGTCGAGGACGAAGGGTTTTACTCCTGTCGAATCAACTTCCTGAATGGGTTTTACAGTGTGAGCGATGAGAAGGCTTTTTCCAGTAAGTTTTGGAAAAGAAGATGAAACACATACTGAAAAAAAAATCCCCCAAAACCAACCTGGTTGTCGTTGGTGGTGGTGCTGCTGCTGCTGCTACTGCTGCTGCTGCTGCTACGGTTGTAACTTACAGTTATGTTACGTATCAAATCATAAAAATGGAAGGTCCAGAAAGTCCGAATTTTGATAGTGCCTTTTAATACGAGTGGCAGCAATTACTTAAAGTCAGCTCCAATTTCTCCGAGATCACAGGCAGTGTACAGAGATGGAAATACCCTAGCTCCTTTTTCGAAACCTCAGCATAAGCTTACAATATTAATATACATTATGTGTTCTATTCAGTGTGTACTCAACACCATTTGCCGCCTCTCCTTCCCGTGCTCCCCTCTCTTTCTCTCTCTTTCTCTCTCTCTCTCTGTCTCTCTCTCTCTCTCTCTCTCTCTCTCTCTCTCTCTCTGTGTCTCTCTGTGTGTGTGTCTCTCTGTCTGTCTCTGTCTCTGTCTGTCTGTCTGTCTGTCTGTCTGTCTGTCTGTCTGTCTGTCTGTCTCTGTCTCTCTCTGTCTCTCTCTGTCTCTCTCTCTGTCTCTCTCTCTCTCTCTCTCTCTCTCTCTCTCTCTCTCTCTCTCTCTCTCTCCATTCCCGACATGGCATTCGTCAATTCGAGTTCTGTGGAAACTTTTATTTGGGCTCCCATACGTATATTATTATCAACTAGCTGGGCCCCCTTACGATGAAAGGAATGATCGGTGCCTTAACATTAACTGAAAGTCATTGGCCTACTATATCTACACTCTACTGGAATGGAGCAAGCAATAAATCTTGAGAGATGCAAATAATTAGAAGGTTTAGATCTATACCCTCAAAACAAAATGCATCTCACGAAATATCACTTCCGGCACTTCCTTTTGTGAAGATCAGCTAGATCTACGTAGATTTGTTTCGTTTCTCAGAGGAATAATAAAAAAAAGCCAATAGGACGGGAACTTTTAGTCAAATATATTTTTTTCTAAAGTTAGGAAATGGATAAATCAAGAATCGGGCTCCGTCATGGGGACCTGTCTATCTTTTTGCAGGTACTTGCCAACTTTTGACTCTGTAGCTGTCGTAGTTTTATGGGAAAAGTGACGCATGTGTTTGCAAGTTGTCAAACACAGGGTGATCCCCCCAAAAAACCTGAACAACCTTTTTTCTGAATATCTCGCAAAACATTTGTACTAGAGTGTTGTAATTTGCAACAGACATAATTCATTCAAAAGGAATTTGTTTGACATAAAATTCACAAAGAAGAAACTTATTTTGGAAAATGGAAATGGCTTTTACAAAAACTACGTTTACATGCAAAATGCACCAAATAAAGAAAAAAAAATTGTAAAGAAAGTCATAAAACGATTGCCTTGTTTTTTCCCTTCCTTTTATTTAAAAAATCTAATCTTTTCATCCCTGTAACCTTTAAACAATATTTCTTTTCTCTTACAGAGTTAAAAAAAACATATTTTTAAGCTCTGGAGTTTCGAGAACCAATGATCTATTTGTCCCCCTTGGACTCGACACATTTTAACGTGTCATTCGTAATGTTCAGTGGAGGCCAGACACAAGGAGTACTCAAAACCACACACAGTATGGAGCTGTTTCTAGAGACAATAAGGGGAGGGACTTTCACAGGGATTTCACAAATATAATATGTAGATTCTTGAGATTATCATCGAAGCCTTTGCTTCTATTTTCGTGCGTTACAACCTTGGTGAGCCCCACTCATAAACATTGTTTTCAGACAGTACCATATAAAATACATCGCTATTCAAACTGTGATGCTAGTGTGAAAATGTTTGACATAGTCGAAAAATGCACCGAAAGCAATTTTCCCATGAAAATAAAAATCTCATTTTGAATCTAAACGAGTTCGAGTGAAAAACAGGCAAAGTGACATTCATTCTAGATTCTACCACTTCTCAGCCTTGTCTGAACATTTTAAATGATTAATCTGGCTTTTTCTTATCTAGATTTGCTGTCATAAAATACAGTGTGTGACTTTATTGGAGAATTTCACTTACATTATTTCACAATCATCATTTAAAAAAATATAACGATATTTGCTAATAAGCATCTATCATCATCTAGAATTTTTCAGACTCTCCAACTGGAGAGTTTTTTTTAATGGTCTCAACGATGGTTACTTCGTTTTCACCCGCAAAAGTGTTGTGTCCTAAAAGTTGGCAAAGACAATGTTAACGAATACTTAATGGACCGAGCAGTGGATGGTAGCACCTCAAGACAAAAACTGAATGTAACAAAGAGAGAGAGAAAGACTTAGGAGTTGGGGTCGATAATAAACTAACCTTCAAGGAGCACTTAGCCCAGATAACATCAAAAGCAAACCGTATTGTTGGACCTATTAGGCGACCATTTGACTAACAGTCTGATGATATGTTTGTTTTGCTCTACAAGAGTTTAGTGAGCCCTTTACTAGAGTATGCACACTGTGTTTGGCAACCCTTTGAAAAAGGACTATGTAGTGAAATCGAACAAGTTCAAAGGCGGGCTACCAAAATGCTGAGTCACATCAAAGAAAAGTCTTATTTTGAAAGACTGAAAAAACTAAAGCTTCCATCCCTGGAACATCGTAGGTTGCGTGGTGATTTGATAGAAACGTACACGTATATCAAAGGCTACTAATCACCGAAAGACCATCGTTTACAAAGGCAACAACCACACAACTCCGTGGCAACTCAGAGAAGCTCCAGAAGCAAAGAAGTAGATTGTGTGTGAGGGCAAACTTTTTTAGAATAGGGTTAATACTATTTGGAACAATCTCCCCGAATCAGTGGTGTCAGCTCCAAACGTGGACACATTTATGGGACGTCTGGACGAATACTGGAAAGATCTCCCAACTATTTACAACCCCACCTGCCAAAACTGATTGTCTAGCCTGCACGCAATGCATTATAGTCATTCATTACCAGATAGCTGAACAGGCTCTACTTACAGGCTCAAATAACTAAATCGTCAATGTCAATGTCAATTATTATTGGTAGTTAAGGGCTTGTACCCTGCATTTTTCTTCTTTTTTTTAAAAGGACTATCCTGTGTTTCGGTTGACACCTTATTTCATATCAGGTGAATGTTTTCAATTTGAATGGATTAAAATTCCGAAGCTTCACTTTATATCTGGCTTCTTTTTTTATCAGTTGCCGTACTTCAGAGACCTGTACTGCGAATCCCCGAGGTAAATCTGAACCAAACCAGCCTGTCTTTCTTCTCTTGTGTTTCCAATGAAACATCACGACGACTGGTAAAAAGGTAATTGACATGTTTATCTGGAAACTTGGATGTTAGGGGAGTGCTTGGGGTGGTTGGGAAGTGTTGAGAGGGAGATGAGAGGTGATATACATTTCGTGTTGAGATATTTCAGTTCTTAGAGACATGTAGCCCTTTCAGGTCTCAAGCAATGACACAGATAACTCGGTTATTTCTACGTCGTCTCTGTTTATGTAACAAGAACAGAAATCAAAGAGTCAGGAAAGTTTCCTTGGATCTTAGAGGGCTTTTGCCTATGAGTTGGCTGGAAATAACATGCAAAGACGTTAGTGTCCGGGATGAGGTGAATTTGAAGCAAATTGAAAATATTTCAAGTACTATTCTGCAGTTGTAAGAAAACTCATTATTCTACTTTCCTTTGATGGAATACTTTCATCGGTACGCTAAAAACAGCAATTCATGGTATTCCAAATGGGGCCTGTCAGATTTGTTGTTATTTTATACACTCTGAAAATACCGAAGACAGCTTGACGAAAGGGTCACTCTCAGTGATTCCTCTAGTCTCCGTGCCTTTTTACAGACATTCTTATCCCGTTATTAGTTTTATTAGTATTGTGGACTGCGATGCAGATAGCAATGAATGAAATCCACAATTGGACATTCTTGAATCTAAATTATTTGGGGAAGTTTCATAATTTTCTGCTAGCTGCTATTTTCTTTTTTTCCTTTTTTCTTCTTTTTTGAGGGAGGGGGTACTAGGGGGAAATGTGTGTGTTGGGGGAAGGGGGGGGGGTATTTATTTTTGAGGTCCATCCTACAAATGAATCTACAGTTCTAGAAAGGGTCGTGAAACTGAAACCATGCCGGCACCTACACTTGTAACATTTCTAAGAAGGGCAATATTTTGAAGGAAATGAATCGTATCTATAAAAAAGAATAAATAATGCACAGCCTACCAATTACAACTTAAACCTTATTTTAGCTTTATACTGAGTATAGCTAAACACATCACGTGCATGCCACTATGTTATTCAGATGGCGTCTTTTTGATAGGATTAGGGAAGGGGGAACTACAATACTTAGCGAAAAGGATTGTATGAACAATTTTTAGTTGTGAAATGCTCCTGTATCTGCAATAATTTTTTTTCAGCGGATTCTTATATCGACAAGGAGTTCTACTCATGGAAATAATGGCGAGAGGTCCTGTGGTAATGTTCGAAGTATTGGTGCGTCAGAGGGATCATGGCAATTACACGTGTACCCTTACCAATAGCGAAGGGGAGTCAGAGCACAGTGCCCCCGTCGAGATACTGACCCAGAGTGAGTTAACCTTAAAATGATAATAATACCTTATCCATGTGGTTTTGGTTTTGTTTTGGTACGTTTTTTTCCCCGCTCGATACTGCATAAGGTCACATGAGCGCGCGGGACACATTGGACATTTTCAGTTTGGTAGGAATTGATTTTGAATTTTCCCAGGTGGCGGCCGAAGCCCACTCTTGTCAATTTTCAACCACCAAGGGATCTTTATGGGCAACTTGCACACGAGACCACCGAAGGTTTTCGCCCTTATCCGAGAAGGCTAGGTGTTAGATTCTATCTACCATAAGATCAGGGGTGTGGCTGAAAGACAGCAGTAAGAAGAGGTCGAGGAGTAGCAGTGATTCTGGAGTCCAGGGCAAAAGGCAAAGGAAGGATGAGGGTGGGAGCAGAAAGTGGAGACGAAAGCAGACGGCATAACATGGCTAGAGAGCAGGAAAGAAGATGAAAGGAGAACATTTTAGACAAGAAAATTTTCCGTCACTGCAAGGTTTCGAATCCGGGACCTATTGAATGAGAGGGGAACACCGTAATCATAAGAGCCTCCATCTATTTTGTAGAATATTTCTACAATCCCCATTTTTCAAATAGGCACTTGGCAAGATGCTTGGATGGAGAAAGACAGCCTTGGACGCTTAGCACCGATAATTATGAACGAAACACAGGAATACACTCACGACATTTCGCTGTCTGAGATAGGTGCTCATGCTCATCTGGGTAAAATTATGATGATAAAGTACATAACATGTCTTTGTCAAGAACATGATGTCCGGCCCACGCTTGTGCTCGAGCTCACACAAGTAGTAGTGAGTCCAATCGTGGTTTTACACAACTCCGTATTGCCTCATTTATGGAGGAGCAAAGAATACATCAGAGTGTCGTAAGAGGCGATTAAAGGTGCATAGGTCTGTTCTCCCGAAAAACCCCCAGTCATTTACAGGTAAGCAGACAAACACAGCTATTTATTTTCCAATCTTGGGAGCCGGAGAAGCTTCTGCATCAGCAGGAACAATGAAGGACAGCTGACAAAGCCGAAAGGACTCTCCTGACCTGAAACCTTCTCTGTCGAACAAGTCTCTCCAGATTGCGTCGTGGAATGTTCCCAGCATGTATGAAGCAGGGAAGAGTTCTCAAGCATCACAAGAGATAAAGAGATACAGGCTGCACATACTAGGATCAAGGGGAAGACCGCGTGGAACCTGGAGAAGAACCACAGAGATTGATACGCAAAGAAAAGTGGGAAGACATGGAATAACATCTCGAGGCTAGCCTAGGATAAAGAAATGTGGAAAATGTTTGTTCGTGGCCTATACCCTGGTGCATGATGATGATGATGATGATGATGATGATGATGATGATGATGATGATGATGATGATGATGATGATGATGATGATGATGATGATGATGATGGGGGTTAGCAGCGCTCCGTCGTGTTAAGTAGACACTGCTTTCAAACTGACCCTCCCAAGTACCTGTTAGCATTGTACTGAACTGAGGAAAACCGGGCAAAGAGCCTTTTCTGAGGGCACAGTATTCTGTGCTGTGAAAGTGAGAACTGTTTACATCACCTGTATTTTGCAAGGTGTCGGTTGTCTAGTGGTTAGGTTACCGGACTTGTAATCGTGAGGTTGCAGATTCGGGGTTTGGAGTCTCAGACCTGATGTTGTGTCCTTGGGAAATACTTTTTACACGAATTTTCGTCACATAATCCAGATGTGAAAGGGTACCTGCCAATAAACAGCAAAAGATCCTGTTAGTGTTTTATCGTCTGTAAAATAGCAGCGTGCACTGTATGCTTCCCAGGAAGTTAAAATTGTTTCAGAATACTATCATGTCTCCTGGGGTAATTATAGATTGTAAAGTTCATAGAGCTTGCTGTCCCGCGAGCTCATATTTATTATGACCTAACGCAGTTGCGAGCGTGTAAAACAATTTTACCTTAAAAAAATGCTGTCGGGTAGGAATTTACTCAATGCAAATGATATCTATCTATCTATCTATCTATCTATCTATCTATCTATCTATCTATCTATCTATCTATCTATCTAT